ATTGGGGACACAATACCATTTGTTCCCCTGTTCTTACGACCTAAAGAGAACAAGTGTATCTCTATCCCTCTTTTTGGAATGTTAACCCTGCTTGTTGTTGGAAATGTACAGTACAGATATCATGAAGTTTATTCGCGGTTTTCTGAAAAGTTACATATATAATAATAGTTATTGCAAAATATCTTAAGAAAAATTTACCGAAAAATAACACCAGCTTTGTTAAGTACATATGCCAATGTTTGCTAAGGAACGAATCTGACATATTTAAGGTGGCTTATATTATGACCTTTTAAATTATTGGCACATACCAAGCTTTTATTGGTAAATTTGGACATTCAAAGCTTTGATTAACTAATATGTACATCTTGGGTGTGTATGTATATAAACAATGATAACCGATCGTTAAATACATTGAAAAACCTTTTTTAAATTCACGAACGTATGCGTGCTTCTTGATTTTTGCGATCAAAGTATGCTTAATTTTTTATTGTGGTGTAAAATATTTCTGTGGACGTATATACATCAACTTCTACTGAGCACATATAATTTTCTTTTAAATAGTATACCAAACGGGTTATTTCGTTACAAAAGTATTGTTTTTGAAATAATGATGAAAAATTTAATATAAGGTCATTATCTTTAAAGTTATTATTAATAGTATTCAATGCATGTAGTCGCTTGAGGAAAAAAAATTATAGTGCCATAGGAAATCCTATTTTGAATTACTCTTGCAAATGAAATTCTCGTCATAAATGAATATACGTAATTCAACGAAAGCTTCTTAAACCAGATGATGTAAAGCATAAAGGATCTCACGTACATTATAATGAGCTTTAACCAGTAAGAAAAGAAAACTTTTTTTCTAGTGAAACTATCATTATCCTTGAAAGAAATCCCATTTCTACCAAAACATTTATCATAAACGTTCCCCCTTTCTTAAAAATTATGGAAAAATTACACACCCTCATGTATCATGTATCTAAATGCATAAAAATAGTACATTTTTTTTAAAACAACATAAAGTCTTTTATCATGTTTCAAATAGTGCAATATTTGTAAGAAAAAAAAAAATTATTTTTTGATAGACACACCCTCTGTATATTTATTGCACAAAAAAGTTTGAACGTATTGTAAATGCATATTAATGGCAAAAAATGGAAGATTCCTAAAAAATTCCTCTCTCCTATCAAGTTCTTCAACATCTGAAGTACCTGGAAATTTTCAAAATAGTTATATGGTATAAACTTCGATAAATGAACTAAAAACTATGTTAAACACACAGTTAGTTTTTTGAGATTACAATTTTAAAACATGTAAAAAACGGTTTGTTTGTGCAATAAATATAACAGTTTTTTCCAATATTCATCAATATATAAGGTTAAATATAATAATATCAAAAACTGTTAAACGGTTTCCTGTAAAAAAAAGGTTTGTTTCAACATAAACGCCAATGTTCTCGAAAAGGTTAAAAATTTCACATCGCAATGAAAGGATGAAGATAACTAGGTGTTCACTAGAAAAAAATAACCGAAGAAATCTGCGAACAACATCACGAAACTGCGAAATTTCAGGAAAGGGAATGTGGTGTAAAATATATACATCCTCTGCTGTAGCTGCATATAATTTTCTTTTAAATAGTATACGGTATATATTGATAGACAGGAGCAAAAAACTGTATATTTATTGCGCACAAAAAAAAAAATGTCGGTTCTCGATTTATTTCTCCAAATGTTTTAAAATTGTAATCTCAAAATATTACTCTGTGTGTTCCATAACATATTCTTTAAGAAAACATTCCTAATTGTTGTATATAAAATCATCGAACATTTCGCTTATTTATACTGTATTTTGTAAAGATCTCTGTAGATGTCATACTACGCTTTTTTTTTTTTTCTAAAATGGTAAAGAAAAATTCAAAAATATACAAATCTCCGATCAATAATTTTTTTGATTGATTGATGGGAAGTCAAACGCACTCAGAACCCTGCTTAATGATAAAGCAGACGTTCATACTATTCTGCAGTCAGTTTAAGTTACATATGTACATATACCTTCAATTGATATGGAAGAAGTCGGCCAAAATTCTTCCCAATGATAGGATATATTTGCTCATTAAATCTACCACGGACTTTACGAAATTCTGACTTTAAATAAGGTTTTTGAAAATAGATGTTACAGGAATTTATCTGTGAGAAACCTGTCTCGATATATATAAAAAAAAGAAAAAGAAAAATTCATACTCAGAGCAGGCCTTTGAATAGGGAATAAGTTTGACCTAAAAGCACCATAAACAGGCGAAAGTTGAATATGACTATGACGATGGAAAGGTTGATACCATCTAGATTGTTAAAGAATTAAGGTGTCAATTGGACCTCCTATTTCTATAAAGTCAATAAACCTTAAAAGAAGATATTTGTGAGACTTCGAATTGTCTTTTATTTTATTTTCATTTTGGTATGACAAGACGTCATAGGAATGAAAATAGGTATTGTTAATTGATAAAGCGTCGTTGATAGATCTACATACGGAAATTAAAAGACAGTGATCAAAATTTGCATACCCAAGTATCGAAAGTAGTTAATTTAAAGATTAATATATCTAATTTGGGAAAGAGTGCTGTAAATCAAGCATTGAAATTTAAGTTTATGCTGTGATGGTGTATTTAAAGATATAATTATATTCGTTAATTTGAGGGAGAAATTGAAATTGTCGACGGATTTTTATGCTTTCTCGCCTTCGTTTCAAGAAGCACACGGTGGGTGTGACCGGTCGGCATGAGATACTCACTCATTTGTGGCAGATGATCCCACCTCTGGTGTTTTAGAGATCCACAGTTGTTCTGATCCTTATTTGTATTGTTAAATAGACGTTTGAGCTATTCGTTATCTCCATGTGTTTCATAGAGTAGTGATATACGTCAATATTTGTATTTTTCAGTTTCGTAGTGGTGTAAGTTAATTTTTTTTTGTTTAAATTCCTAGTTTGGGTAGTTTTGTAAGTCAATATTTGAAATTCAAAATTTGGGTACTGGTGTAAGCTCAGATTTGAATATTTGAGGTTGGGAAGTAATGGAAGTCAAGATTTTTTTCCTTTAGTATTGAATCTGTGGTGTCAGTCGAAATCGCCTTTTGTACAATGAAGCGCATTGAAGTGGTAAAATTCTCCGTTTGGATGAAAAGTTCTGAGTCATGTTTTGAAGGTCAATTATAACATAATGACACGCCCATATTTTTAGAAACGAGAAAGTAATATTCGTCGTAGTTTTAGGACATCCCATTTTTCGCGACAAGCATCATGAGTTACACTGAAATGGAGCTTTAAAAAAAATAGAAGAGGGAGTTAGATACTCCCCGCTTCTGTTAAACAGAAATTGCAACGAATATGTACATATTTTTGAACTTATCATGTCTATTGAAGTTACCACAACACATGTTTTGGTCGAACACGTGTTTACTCGGTGTTTATTTAGATCCTCAATTTGATTGGCTATTATATTTATGGAAAACCTGTTCTACAGGTATTTGAAGAAACAACTTGACCGTTTTATCAATTTCTAAAGAAATGGGCGTGTCAAAAGATGACAATAAACACTCTAAATATAGCTCAAGACGTTCCATTCGAACGGAAAATTTTACCACTTCAATGCGCTTCATTGTAGTTATGAAAGAGGTTTAAGACACGATGAGTTTTATTTTTAAGTCGAGTACCGTTGCAGGTTTAAATTTGTACTACTAATTAAGCGAGAAAGAGGTGGAATCAAGATATGTTTTTCTTTAAAGTATGGCTCTAGGGTTTTTTTTTATTTCTAGGGAAAATGACTTGTCATAAGATACTTATATTTCGGTTTAATTTCTATCAGCAGTTTTTTATCAGTTCAATTGAAGATAACAGTGGAACTAATCCGAAATTACCCTTTTGAAAAAAACTGTTCTATTTTATTTAGAAATGTCGTGACAAATGTGCCACTGATTTGGTTTTTCATCACAGTAAAATGTTTTTTTAATTATTAAAGACTATACGAAGATATTCTTGTCTTCCGATCTATTTTTATGTTCTATAGTCGGATCTTGGTTCGTCTAGTCTTTGCTCCTAGTGTCTATCGAGCTTCAGCAGAATGGTGTCAAGAATATCGTAGTTCCAGACCCACTTCTGGTATTTCTCCTGTACATGAAACTGTTCAGCGAAATGAATTCAAACACCGATCTTGAGATCGTCTTATATTAGTACGAATTGCTAGTACGCAATCTTGATTATAATCACGACCTTTGCTTTACCACCACAAAACAGACTTTTTAATCGATACGTAAAATAAGTATACACACTGTACATAGAATTGGCTCAATGTTTGATGAAGAAAATAATGCTAATAATGAAGGTGATCTGTATTACAAAATCTCGAAATTAGGTGACATATTACTCCGTTTCTTTTATTTTGTCTGCATAATTGTTAGTTTTCTTCATCTTTTCATTCTTGCGGATGGGGTGGCTTAAACAATCTTGCTAGAAATGTTAATGAAGTCTAACATTTAATAAATGACAATCGTTGTCAGGAAAAACCCAGTTAATTATATTTGAAATAGTATTTTTTCATTAACTGCAAAAAAACCCAATAAAATGTGTTGCCATAAAAGGGATATTAATTCAATTGTCGACTTTTTCCTTTAAAAATATATCATGAATAGAGTAATATTGATTTGAACCTGTTGTACTAGTTTGAAAAAAATAAATGTTTGTCATTGCCATTGAACAAAAAGACATTTCTAAAAAAATGAATATTGTTCCTTTATTATTTCACTCATTGCCACAATGATCCTTAAAATGTGCATAAACATGTGAGAATGAGGAACTATAGACCAACATTCAGCAGAAGAAAGTTAATTGAAAAACGATTCCAAAAAGGAATTGAAATTTCCACATTCAAGAAAAGAAACGCATATCGATTCTGTATCCAGCAAATATGATTTTTTTCATAAATGTCTGGTATTTTTTTTTTGTTACAGATGACCACTGTTATGCGAAGACCCTCTGCAACATCAAACGATATACGTATAGGAAACCACAGATCATCCAGTTACGCCACCCCGGGGGATTCCCCTCCCTCCAGTCCCGCTCAGACAGGGAGTCGGTCTACCAGAGCCTGCTGCTTTTGTTGGTGCTGTTGTTGTACTTGCTCATGGTGAATGCATGACGTCACGACTTTTGCTTTTCACGTCATACTCTTTCGATTGATCTAGGTCAAACAAACCAACAAAATATTAAAAAGAAATTAAAATGGATATCTTTGCAAGGGGTATTTAGAAATAGTTGATAAAATCTTTTGAGTTTTTTTTTGTAAACTTTATTTTTCATTGAATTATTTTTTTTCACTTTTGAGATTTAAGGTGACGTAAGCAAAAATATCCATTTATGAAAATATTTTTATAATCCCGAGACACTCTCGTAAGAAAAAGGAAAAGAAAGAAAGCAACCAAACAGCGGAAAATCATATAATTTTTAAAAATTCAACAGTAAACGAGAATTGTGTTTGTTTGGCCAAGATATGCTACCATGAAATGTCATTCTCTGAAAAACGGTAATGCTGGGAGAAGGTATAGAAATGTCATTTAAATGGCGGGGAAAATATGAATGATATTTCATTTTGAAATGCACTGATAAAGAAATACTATAGCTAGCACGTAGATAATACATTTAGTCGTAATTATAGTGGTAATTATATAATTATCAATTCTTATGTTGCAGTTTAAAAGATCGTAAGAAAATTTATTTGGAAGTATAGTTATCAATAACAAATTCGATGATTACATTCTGCTTATAACGCCGTATTTCGAAAAAGAATGTTTTTCGAAAAATCTTAGTACCTAACAATATACACATATAATGCTTCAAATACATTTTTTATCAACCAGCTTGATTAAATACAAATTCAAGGTTTTTTAAGGAATTTAAGCTATACCCTTAATGGTAGAAAAAATTCAGTTATAAGGTATGAATAAATAAGACACCATTATGTAATCTTCTTTGGGACATTTGGTATTTTTCATCGATCGTCTAGCGGTTCATAGAGTATAAATTGCTCCAACTCAGATTATACAATAGTAATTGACATTGGGTAGCATTTGCATTCATTCCACAATGAACCAAAAATATGACAACCTATTAAAAATATAAAGTTCATGGAGGGTAGAAAACATAAGTTAAACTTAGAAAAAGAACTATTAACGTTTAGGCATATTTTTGCCATCATCAAGGTCAAAGTTTTGGAAATAATTATAATTATATTCTCGAGGAACCTTTCTTGATGGTTACAATCATTCAATCAATTTAATACAGTTTCATATTTTTAACTAATATTACTAACCGTTTAATTAAATGAAAACCAATAGATTTTTTCACAATGTATAAAATTCTATTTTGAGACACTTGCAGATAGAAAAGGTACCCAAACCAGTGTGACATTGCTTTTCTTAAGTTCTACCCTCTGATTAATGTCCCTTTGGAGAATTTCTCACACATCAAGATGCCACCACTTGCTGGTGGATGGTTGCAAATGAATTTTACTCGACAATCATGATCTTTGAGCAATGAGGGATATTTTTTTCGTACCAGCACCCGTTGCGACACTGGACCTTGATTTATATGGCTGATAGCTACAGAACTGTAGCTCTCTGCTTGAGAAAATTCGGACAGATAAAGCAGAGAGCTACAGATCCAAACGTTGTAAAAACCTTCGATTTACGCCGACGATTTCTGGGCGCTCACTATGGGTATTTTTTGGTGTATTTTATACTTTCCTCAGCTTTGAAAATCATTTAAAATGGTATTTAATAATTAATCATACATTCAACTTCAATTCCTTATCATTTACTTACCTCTCAACAGCTTACAAATGGCTGTTTGTGGTTACGGACGTCGAAATGGAACTCTTTTAAACAGACATTACAAAACTATATACAGGGCTGTTTCGGACCGTTCAAAGGTAAACAAAGTATCAAATATAAGAGTTAAATATATGAATTATTATTGGATTCTATTCTAAAAGCCAGAGAAAACTTAAACTACATGAAATAAATACCCAAAGTAGCGACAAAAAATCGTCGGCGTAAATCGAAGGGTTTTACAACGTTTGGATTTGTAGCTCCCTGCTTTATCTGTCCGAATTTTCTCAAGCAGAGAGCTACAGTTTTGCAGCTATATGGCCGAAGGACCGACCTCCACGTCCAATTGCTGATTCCATTATGAATTAGATTAAAAATAAGATTCTTTATAATTAGAAGTATATTATTTGAAAGCTTTGATTCTGCGATGCGACAATCTTAATTTATTAAAATACTTAGTAGTTTTTTACTAAAAGGACAAAATGGATAAAATAAGTTGAATTTTGTCTTCAGAGCTTACAGAACAACAAGTTAACCTTTTTCTGGTACCACAACGTTCACCTTTCTCATTGATATTTAACATTTTACACAGCTAATCAAAACTCCTAATAGCATGCTTACTATTAAGATTTTATTGAAAATATTGATTTTAAAAATACATTTTTCTCTAAAATCATTGATGTGAGCTTGCGTTATATTCTTGATGTAATTTATGTAAGACGGGATTCTTCTCAAATTTATTGTATTTAACATATTAATGATATTTTAGAGGTACAAGAAGACAATATCACTAAGTGATGATTTCAATAAGATAAAATTTGACTGCTTTATTTGAGGAAGAAAGTTAGGTCAAGATCATATGCTTTTTCATTGACTTTAAGAATGCCTGTTTCTCTGTTTTTGCATAAAAACATACCGGTATCTTCATATATGGTCTACAAGATGATAATTCACTGTGAAAATAAATAATTTAACTAATATAGAATTTTCTGTTTTCCTTAATGTTTAAGAAATAGTAGTTACTTTTATGTGTATCGAATATTTTAACTTTTCTAAAGCTTTTTTCAAATGTGGTGAAGTAGTCCACTGTTATAAAAAAATATAGTCCCTGCTAGATTAAATTCCAATTGAGCCTTTTGTTTTTAAAAAGATTTTTAGCTCACCTGAGCTGAAAGCTCAAGTGAGCTTTTCTGATCACATTTTGTCCGGCGTCCGTCTGTCTGTCCGTCTGTCTGTCTGTAAACTTTTCACATTTTCGACTTCTTCTCAAGAACCGCTGGGCCAATTTCAACCAAACTTGCCACAAAGTATCCTTGGGTGAAGGGGATTCCAGTTAGTTCAAATGAAGGGCCACGCCCTCAGTCAAGGGGAGATAATTGGGAATTAATGAAAATTTGGTGGCATATTTTAAAAATCTTCTTCTCAAGAACCACTGTGCCAGGAAAGATGAAACTTATGGGGAAACATCTTCAGGTAGTGAAGATTCAAGTTTGTTCAAATCATGACCCCCGGGGGTAGGGCGGGGCCAAAATGGCCGACCAAAATTTTACATAGAAATATATAGGAAAATTCTTTAAAAATCTTCTTCTCAAGAATGACAAAGCCATAATTCATCATATTTATATGGAAGCATGCTCAGGTAGTGTAGATTCAAGTTTGTTCAAATCATGACCCCCAGGGGTAGGGCGGGGCCAAAATGGCCGACCAAAGTTTTACATAGAAATATATAGGAAAATTCTTTAAAAATCTTCTTCTCAAGAATGACAAAGCCATAATTCATCATATTTATATGGAAGCATGCTCAGGTAGTGTAGATTCAAATTTGTTCAAATCATGACCCCCGGGGGTAGGGCGGGGCCAAAATGGCCGACCAAAGTTTTACATAGAAATATATAGGAAAATTCTTTAAAAATCTTCTTCTCAAGAATGACAAAGTCATAATTCATCATATATATATGGAAGCATGTTCAGGTAGTGTAGTTTCAAGTTTGTTCAAATCATGACCCCCCGGGGTAGGGCGGGGCCAAAATGGCCGACCAAAGTTTTACATAGAATTATTTAGGAAAATTCTTTAAAAATCTTCTTTCAAGAATGACAAAGCCATAATTCATCATATTTATATGGAAGCATGCTCAGGTAGTGTAGTTTCAAGTTTGTTCAAATCATGACCCCCCGGGGTAGGGCGGGGCCAAAATGGCCGATCAAAATTTTACATAGAAATATATAGGAAAATTCTTTAAAAATCTTCTCAAGAATGACAAAGTCATAATTCATCATATATATATGGAAGCATGCTCAGGTAGTGTAGTTTCAAAGGATGATGTGACATAACTGCTATCTGGGGCCCCTTTTTCCACGACGAATTATATTTTATCTACAACGATGTTGGTAGTTTTCAAAGATGAGTGAATAAATACGACGCCTTTTGAATAGTTTCAATAGTTCAGACACATTTTAATTATAAGGAATACTGCATTATCTTTGATTTTTAGACCCTATCACAGCTAAATTTGGCCAGGTTTGTGCGAACATTTTCTTTTATGGCAGAAGAATGGGCGGGTCTTAGTACAATAGAGGGATATGCGTGTTCCAGAAGACCTTATATGGCTATTGTTATTATTTCGCACAAAGTCATTGTCCAATCCGATGACAGAACAACAAAACATGCTGTTTACTACGTATTACATTTTATCAAAGACACGTGGTTGAGGTCAATTTACCTATTATCCTTTTCTACATTTCAAACTTTTATAATGGTCAGCCAAGGCTGTTTATACTTAATAATAAGTATGGATTTTCAGCATTTACGGTTTTTAGCACAATTAAGAAATGCACATGAAACTTATATTCACTGATACTCGGGAATACGTGTAGACCTAGCGAATTGCTCACCATACACGCCACAAATCTTTAATGTAATGTATATTTATCAATTGTTTGTAAATGTATTTAAATTTTACTGTGATTTCAGAAATTGAACATATGTAGATCCGTGTCTAATCTGTGACTCAAATGCATAGAAAATATCGGAAAGCAGTAAAATTCCAAGCATGTTTCCGTAGTAATTTTTGTGGTACTCACTCGTAACGAATTTCATTTAGCTGATTGGTCAGTTAGAAAGTATCGCCTGTGCCTCGATTAGCATATGAATTTATTCTTACGTCAGAAAATCTAGTTCCGTCGATCTGTTTATAATGGGAAAGGCCAACTAGATTTTACAATTTTTTAGAAAATAGCATGTGAGCGCAGTTAGGTACAATTTTCTACTTTCACATATAGGTAGATTTCAATAAAATACAGT